TACATACCAACCCTTTATAAATCAACTCAAATAAAACCTATATATTTTTATGAAGTTCGAAAACAATATTTTGAGTTTGTAATAATTAAATCATATTATTATTCTGAAACAAGGCGAATACTAAAATCAGAGTAGAAGGCAAGGTATATTAATGATATTTAATTAAATTACTGCAGTATAATTATGACTAACTAATGACGTATATAATATTTTAGAATTAATTTGAGTTTCATGCATTTTTCCCCTCAGTTGAATATACATTATTTTATATAAATATTATTATTTATTACATATTTTATTATATAATGTATACATCATGAAAACAGTTTAATTGTCTTGTTTGATGCTTAATTAAATATAAATAAATTCGTTCAATATTTTTATTTTGTTGTATATTTTTGGAGTTTATAGGTAATATTATGCAAAATATTTACTAAATATTACTTAAGAAACAAAACGTTAAAAGCATTAGCATTTAAATGTAATAGACACCTCAGAATAAATTAAATTTTTTTGATTCGCATGTGAAAGTTGTACTCGATTTTAAATAATTCTTAAAAAAGGATTTTATTTATTTTTAAAATTCAAAATATACCAATATAATTATATTTTACACGTATAGGTACATTATGTGTGTACGAGTATATTATTAAAATATTATAAAACGCGGTTTAATTTAAGCTTATTAATTGATCATGTATACCTACTTGAACGGACATGTAAATCAATTTCACCAATATCGAATGGTCTTTAAGATATGTGTTGTATTTATGCCAAATATTATAATCATAATAATTTAAAATTTTTTTATAATAACGAGTATTATACCGATCTCGTTGTGTATATACAAATACAAGTTTCTTGACCACGGACCCGTGATTTATGCAATATGCTTATAATATGAACACATCTTTATTTTAGTGTGTTCGTCGATTTTTTTTCGTAAAATTGAAGAAATATCGTTGTATATCTTATGCACAAAATAACATTTTATAATTAAAGTATAATACTGCATGGGCGTTATTATGTCATATATTTATTTTGGCGTACGTTTTTAATATAATTATATTTATACCTTGGAATGTACACACAAAATACGCGTGCTTGGTCGCTTAATGGATTACGGTTTATGTAATTTCAAAAATTATGACACTGGGCGATATACATGGCAGTAGAGCGTATATTATGTTTATGTGTTACAGCCTCAATGAGCAGTGAACCGAAATGTAGATAATCTACTCGTATAATATGAAGAATAACGATAATCCGTTATTGACTAATGTGTGCTACCGACGTACAACAGGTAAACTATACCTATAACTTGCACTAATTATTATTATTGTATTTTTAGAAACAACCTCGCGTGGTATCGTAAGTAAAACAATATTGCCAGACATCACTTATATTTTACTTTTTACACAAATGCAGCTGCAGCTTCATAATAATATTAAATAATATAGTATAAACTATAAGGTATTAAGGTATAATACGTTACGCTGGCGTAGGTATAGATAATTTATTATTAATAGTAAACTATGTAAATTTAGAAAATGTATAATTGCATTTAAAAATCTCTCAATTTACTTAAATAAATTATTTTAAAATTATAAAATATACAATGTGGCTGACCAAAAATGCTTATCCCTATTTTTTCATTCAGTAATTAATTTACTCAAATTTCGATTTTTGAAATGTTTAAATGTACGTAAAGACTAAAGACTATACTTTGAAATTGTTAAGATTTTTATTTTATACCTATATTTAAGGAGTGTCCTGTGGCTATACAAACTACTTAAAATGAGAATCTCTTTTTACACTGAAAATATCCTTATTATAAAAAAATAAAATAAATAACTCAAAAACTACTCATTTGAATTTGAATTTTGACAAATTAAAATTTTCTCAAGCATTTTCTACTAAGTAATGTATTTTAAAAAACAATTGCTAATTTGAAAAATAGAAGATTTTATCTCTACTAAAATAAATCTCTAGAAAAGTTAAGTTAGGTTGAAAATGTGGTCTTCAATTAGTAAGCTAGTATATTTAAAATTCTCAAAAATCAGATTTTAAATAATTTAATTATTGAAGGAAAAGGTGTGAGCATGCTTGATGAACACACTCTATATTATTATGAAATTATTGAATATATAAAATAATATCAAAATGAAAATATTCATATAAAGTGCTTGGTATTTAACGAAATCGTTTGTTGACATATTAGCGTATAATTTATAATATATCTTCTATTAACGACATATTAAAAATGGCAATGTATCACTTTTTTATTTTAGATTACATATAGTTATTATTTATGACTATGGATATATTTCATAAAAAAATTAACTGTTTTGACGGTAATCCGTTTTATCATAATTATTTATACCGTTTATTTACGTAAATCATCTGGTAAAAATAACATACATACCGATTATAGTTACAATTCAATCGATTGAGTGATAATCATGACTGTTGAACGAAATCAAGCGTAAAAGACACCACCAATCAATAATTATATTTTTATTTGTAAATCGCCGAATAATTGCTTCCTTGGACTTGGAAGACGGATATTGTTATTAGCTTAATATTAAATAGATAATTTTGAACTTGGCCGTGTATTTCCTTGTTACTCGATCCCGTAACTATTATTTTTAGTTCCTAGATTCGACTCCGTAACCTTCGCGTAATTATTCATTCTGCCGGTAAATTATTCGTTACCGAACGTTTATAATTTTTATCGGCAAAAGAATTTTAATTAGTTAATGAGTAATTTTATCTTTTTTTTTTTTTTATCGAAAATCTACACTTTTTAATTTCATAATAAATTAAAATGAAATAAAAATGTATATTATTAGGCACAAACAAAACAATGTTATCCGTGTAAAAAATATTGCTGATTTGTATGATCAGGAAATAAACCTAATAATTTACCTCGCACTTGACGAAGTATAAATTATATAATTATTGATCTTAAATTATTGAATATAATATCATCAGTTAAGTTTATCGGGGAAAGAATATTTTATACCAAAAAGTGTTGAAAATAAAGATAAAATAAATAATAGTGGATATTATTTATTAGCTCATAAACATTATTCATTTTTACAACAAATGTTTGCTCTACTGTAACTAATTTCTTTTGTTGTTCTCCACAAACATTTAAAATTAAAATTATAATTAAATTTTATATTTTTTTTTTCATGGTTAACATTTTTATTAAACCTTAGCTAATTGTAAAAATAATTTTATGAAAAAATGTAACTAATATAAAACTCAAAGTTTAATTTTTGTTTGTATAATAATATACAATCTTAGCGACCAGTGGCGTACTTTTCCCGTAAGTAATATAATAAGTGGAAAATATCCATGTAAACCAACGTAATAAGCAAATAAAAAAGTAATTTTATAAAAACGTTAATTTTTTTTAAATGGATCGATTTAGGATATCCACTCGGTGATGATGCTGTATACACCTAATATATTTCTGTATTATGATTTTAGTTATTGTAAAATAAGGTACTTGCAGCATTATTTTTCTTTTGCAATTTATATATGACTTGTTTTGTGTACTTATATATACTCCAATTTCCATTCGAAATTTACATTATACACTTTACACACATATCATATTACAGCACATAATATTATCATTGATGTAAAATTATACTTCGTTATTAGTTTGTCAAATCGTCACATTAGTATGTAATGTGCGCACGGGCATTTGAGATGAAATTATGGTTTAAAGTTTAGACAAAGATTAAATTAATTATTCTCACGCGAGTATTTTCAATGTTACGATATTCGAGTATAATATTAACCGAAAAATTTTTTCTCCACCAGACTCCAATCCTGAGGTTTTGAAATGATAAAATTATACGATTCCAGGAGACTATAATTGTAGGAAGTATATCAAGTCGCAATATTGTCATCAAAGGAATAACTAAGCCCGTTCAGAATATACTAATACGAATTCAGAGAATACATTCCTATATTAGTAACTATAATTGGGCGCAGTATTATATAAATATACAGGATGATTCGCCATGCACGATAAACCTATTTTTTCTTTCAATGTTGCATTTATTTAAAATCTAATTTTTATCATTTTTAAATGTACATATTATTTAAGAAATGTTCTGTGGAGATATAATATTATATTTTTAAAATGAGAAGCTCAATTTTTTTGCTGTAAATTAATAATCAAGTAATTTTTCTAAAAATGTTGACGTATTAAAATAAAATTTCGAACGAGTAGTTATTTAACTTTGTGTACTCAAGATGATAGATTTATACGCTAATGTGTTTGGAAGGTATGAGGATACGGTGATTTTTAATTTTTACTAATTAATATTAATTTATCGACATATTTATAATCTGTAAAAACAGTTCAAGTATAATTTAATAAACATTAAATAATTTACAGTAAAAAATAGGGTTCTCTTTGTTCTCATTAAAAAAAAAAGAAGTTAATATTGCTAAAAGACATTTCTTATAAGATCTAGTACAAACAAATTAAAAGAATTTGAAAATTTAGTCTTAAAGTATGTTTAAACATTCCAAAAATCAGAATTTAGTTAAATTTATAAAAAAAAAAAATGAAAAACGGGGGTGCGCATGGTCGGTGAATCACTCTGTATAACACGCTACATTTTACGGTGAAATATGTAATAATATAACTAATATAAGATATAAATCGTCAACGTCGTCGTAGGTACGACTGCCGTCGAGTCCATTCGAACCGGTCGGCGGCGTATCTGCAGCCACACACCGGAGAAGACCTTGACAACGGATACGGTACACCTCTTTTTAGCGTTCTTCCGTGCCGCGATTTTTCTTCCTACGGTTCGCGCGCGCCGCCTCCCACCCCGCCGCCAACTAAGAACACGTTTAATAATAATATTATTACTATAACAACGTTCCCACCGCCCAGCGAAAATCGAACGTCCCGCCACTATATAATCTAAACGGATCGCCTCCGAAACCCTAGTATCTAGTTACCCAAACTCCAAACCGTATACACGTATTACCTCCATTCCAGTTATTATTTTTATTTATTTATCGTTTTCGTACATTTCTGTAAATATATTTTATATAAATATCATATACCAACGCTCCGCTGTCGCAGTTTAATACCTGTTGTACACCGCGACGACCATAGTACAACTCCACTCGTCGCTGTTTGCTCCGTCACGAACGACGACCCATATCACAACTACCTGTTGTACCTATAAACATTATAATATAATATTTATTATATTTTCCGACGTCCCGATTCCGGTTGGTTTCGTTACATATTTTTCCCGCCAACGTTTTAACTGCAAGTGTCGCGCCGAACGCCAAAACAAAAAAAATCAAATATATACAAAATGGTTTCTGTACAAGGGGTGAGTGTAAACGATTATTAATTATATCATACATTTTTTTATAATTTATTCTATTCATAAGTGCGACCGTTCACAAGGCATGCTATTTGAAAATATATATGTGAAAATACAAATTCGAATAAAGATAAAATTATAGGATAATGTTTAAATTAAATCAAGTGTTATAAATGATATTACATCAAAAAGCATTATTATTTTGCTTTTTGATTGTTGTCCTTTCGTTTAATTTAAATCTGGTTGCTTGTTCATATGTGATTAATTTAAATTAAATAACTAATGCAATTTATAAGCAATCGAAAAACGTGGTTTTTAATACACTTCATTGATTCTTAAACGATATTATACACATTACACATATAGCTTCGGTTAAAATTATGGAATGACGAATTAAGTTTTGAGCATTTTAAAATAATATTATGTACAACGTATTTATAGAATTTTGGGCAAGTGGTACTTTTATTAAAAATTGACCGATTTATCGATGAAAACAATTACAAATATTTTTTTCCCATTTGAAATATAGCATATTAATGATTCCAACGGCCATCAGTGTAATTATTATGGCTAAGTATTTCTTAACGTGAAAACTATTTAGTTTACATTAATCGTTTAAAGCTGCAAGGCTACGCACACATACATAATGGATATTACAATGTACTTATATATTATTATTAGATTATTTGACTATGTTGTTAACATATTTATTAAGATCGTATACGATCCTAAATGAAACCGGACAAAGCAGCTTTTCTTTTTCGCCATTTAATTTCGAATGATACGATATTCGCATGATTTATGGGACTGGGTACCTATGCTTTGCAACATTATTCAGTTCATAATGGGCAAAAGTTCCCAGCCAATAAGTTTAGAAAAAATGAAGAAATTCGGTAGCATTCAAATATTTTTTATCCATTATATCCACGAGGCCTTTGAAATAAATTCGGCCATCACATTTCACATTACTACCAATGTGTGCACAAAGAGGGGAATTCAGCGACGCGTGTTTATAGTACTTATATACGCCTGAAGACTTGTCGAACATTGTTTCACCAATATCATTTCGAGTTAAGGGTTGATAGAAAAAAAAAACTTATTTTATTAAACGCGATAAATACAGGCGCGATATAAAGAAATAACTGAAAAAAAATAAAAATAAATAACGGTCGGAAGCGGTCTACATCATAATAATTTTCATAATATCGTAGCTAAGGCGTGTTCACGAAATTTTCGATCGTATTCGGTTTATACACCTGTATATTATTACACGAATATCATATATATATATATATAAATATTTATATGTCACATTCTATATTCACGTGTCCTTTATGTACACTCTTACACTCGCGCTCGTAATACGATAATAATATCCTATTTAATGGTATCCATTACATATTTCGCATTTTAGCCGACACGTGTGAAAAACGCCACCGCAAAGCTAATTATGTACATTTTATACATATTATATGTATATTTTTAATATGCCACTGCACGTACGCCGGCCGTCAATTTATAATAATAGGTAATAACAACAACAACAATAATAAAATGTCCACGTACTTACGGCCGTCGATGACATAATATTATAATATACACGCGATTTAGTATGTACTTATATATTATTATTAAATTCATAAATTGTGAGGTAAAGGGACTAATATCGGTGGTTATGCGACGGGCTCGCGTGTCACAGACACACGCATAACATACATGATGTGTATATGATCGTTCGACGTACTTTGCTCGGCGAGAGTTTCGACACGACGTTTTCTTTTCGATGGAAAAACCGCCAATCAATGCCGACCGTCGGTCGCGATATAATTACGCCGCCGCCGCGTTTTGCCCGTCGCAGTCGTACGCCCACGCCCGAGCGCGCGTATGTGCCTTAGAAAATAACTAATATATAATATTATACACAATATTATAATTGTAATAATATATATCTAGGTATCTACGTTTTGCTATCCAAACGGGGACTCGTCCCCGTCGTTTTTCGAAACGTTTCGGTTTTTCGTGTTCGCCGCTGAAAATCCGTTACGAAACACAACTATTACAATAACATTAAAAATAATATCATAATACCATATGGGAACTGGTGCTACGGCTCGCGAGTCACGCACGTCGCCGACGACGTTTGAACGAAAGCTTACAAGTTACAATACCGGCAATAATAATAATAATAATAATAATAAAAATAATAATGACACGTATCAGCTATATGATATTATTAGGTATACGTCCTACGGACAAGCCGACACCGGATGCGTCTCGGCGCGGAAGACGACGATATTGCGATCGTTAAAAACGGCAATCTTCCGTACAGGTTTCGCGACACGGCACAGCCGTCCGCCGAGAGAGAAACATCGTCGCGATTGCCTATTCGCGTCGCGTGTTCCCTCCCGATGACAATCTACGACCACCGATCTGTTTAGACGCGATCGCCGTCGACACGCGTTCATCGCGATAGGATTCGCCTGCGTTTAAGAGATTTTTTTTTACTTTTTTGAGTCACAATAATAATTTTATACATTTCTTGCATTCAAAAAATAAAAAATAATAATGATAAAAAATTAAAACGTATTTTTTTTATAGTTCCATTAAATTATGTAAAAAATATTAACAAAAAAGTTAAGACTTTTCGGAACATATTGGATGTATACACTTAAATGAATCACTCTGTGTAAATATCATATATAATAGTATGTATAATTCTATATATTATTACGTGTTCAAGCGGTAATGCAGTATCTACATTATTGTGTCAACACCGATGATTTTCAAAAAGATTTCGTTTGATAATACATCGTACAAGCGTTCTCTGCTGCGATTTCGTGTAATATTTAACATTAATATAATAATTGTGCGTTTGTAATTAGACAGGTCGTCGTCACTGCCGTAACAAATAAGATTCGTTTTCATTCGATTTGATATAATGAGCGTAACGCGAGGAACCGTAGATAATTATAAAATATATATAACGATAAATCAGCACTCAGGATGCATCGATTTTGATGTTTAAAATATTACAAACGAGACGCCGCGAGACGAATATTTTAAAGACGTGTCGTGCAGGTATAGTTATCCCGCAGTGAGAGGAATATAATATAATTCTGTAACAAGCTTGTTATAAAATTTCTCAGAAATCGAAAATATAAACAATTTTTATGTCTTTCGTGGTCTTCAAAGTTCTAATTTGCGAACATCTACTAAATACATAGGAACGATTTATTTTCTTCGTAGACATCAGCATTTAATTGGTTTCCAACACTTCCAAATGACGTAGAAAATAATATGCTATGAATTATATTTTAGACTTCAATAGGTTATCAATAACGTTGCTCGTAAACATTTTGAGTTGCAGAATAACAATGAAACTGTTATATTTGTTCATCTCGCGGTAACGAACCGTTAATTTTACCATATTCCGGCGAGAATGGCAAATATTTTAAAACTCTATACACCAGAACTAATTCGTGACTTGTGTCCTTCAAAAGTCAATTTTTAAAATGTGTCGTTTACAAATCGCGGAGAATTGTCAATCGTACATGACGTGATATAGTCAATAGTGGATAATATAATAAATTTAGAAAAATCGTAATGAAAGTACCTACTACGAGAAATGTGCATTGAATACCGCGGCTGCAGCGTTATATAGGTATTATATTATCTTTAATGATCATATTATTATCAATTAAGTTATTTTAGTAATCATACGAGTGTCAATTATTACTCGATTTCTTTATTGAAGACATTTGAAACAAATTGATAAATTGTTCGGAATCAAATATTCGATATAGGTACACAGCAGTCTTCTCAAGACGAAAATAATCACTTACAAGTTAAAATAGTCACGGAGTACAGACGTATACAACTGCATTCAATCACTATTATAAATATGTTATATTTTATTTTGACATAACTATAATATTATATATATTAACGCTTTAAGCGTGATCGCGTTTCCAATTGTGTCTTTTATTATGTTTCAAACGGTTTCAGTTATTATTAAATACGCAATGAATGGAAGTATAGTTGGTCAGAAATTTCACCGACTCTTCTGGCTAGTCAAACAATTGAATGTCCACGACGTGAATACAATAATACCTATACATACACGCATAATATAGGCAGGTCTGCCCGGCGCCTAGGAAACCCTTAGGACTTTCTCTGTCAACGCAAAATTCGTGGTCGTTGTTGTAAGCACTTGTCGTAAAAACTTGATAATATTATTATCATAATACTATATTACATACATTATACATATCGTACATAATATACTATGACCGTGACACATACTCGCGGTATGCGCGTATGTCCCAAATACAAATTTAATAATAGTACATAATTGCCACAATGTGCCACCGGCGTTATAAAATGACAAAATTATCCGTCCAAACGTCTCGCGAAGATTTCGTCGCTCATCCGCCGCCAAACGTCCGAGGTCATCCATGGCTAGTTAAATCGAGACTTCATTGTCAAATTGCATTACCATTATTGTATTACACTGGCAGACGGCTGCAATCTTCAGCCGAGTCGTAATTATGTATATTAATTTGATTTCTGAGCAAACGATGCGCACCGATCTCCTCTTTTTAATCTGCAGTATTCCATTTGCTCTATATACATTTGCAGTGTTCCGATGCGGTAAGATTTTTTGTTACTAATAATTTGCGACATGACATCTTTAAAAATAAAAATGTATAACATTTTAACGCGAAACTTATCGCGTAATAGCGTTGGCGAGTAGAAAAAAACGCGCGACGTAATAATATATTGAGTAACATATTATAGTAGTTTGTAAGCGTTTTCGTGTCGTTTGTCAACCTCTTTATTATATGTGATTATAAATTTGATTAAATAAATACATTCCTCAATTCACTCGAAATCTTAAATATCGATAGCTTACAATTTTATGTAAATACATAATATTACAATAAATCATTAGTTGTGTGTACATTGCTCACATCTACACCAAACCACCGAAATCGTTGTTTGTAAAA